GTCTCCAAAATTTCAGTCCCCCAACGTTCGTGCTTGCTGAGTTGAAAGTAGGTGACAAAGTTCACTCGCTTCCAAACCCACATGGACGAACCTTCTCTCGACAGTGTGTGTTTTTGCTCGCTCTAGCAGCGCTGTAGGGCTACACACCAAAGATGCGTAAGTAGATGAAGTTTATATCATATTGCTATAGTGCTTCATCTGTCCTAGTCATTTCACGTGATTCAAATTGACCATCAACCTGTTTTAGTGCCGATGCGTGTGTTGCTCTAACCAGCAACGTGCTATTGCCGATGTGCTTCAGAATCAGTGATTTGGTTGCTCCCGTTGTCAATAGCATGTCCCCAGAAGGTTACGCTCCCGAAGACTATGTGAATACAATTGGTGAGCTCTCTTTTGTTTTTAATTTGACAAATTATGCAAGCAAATTTGTACGGAGTCATTTTTTATTGCATACCTCAATTTTTTGATTCGGTGCGAGCAGTTCTGTATAAAACGATTGAAAATTTAGGCATTCCATCGCTTTTTAAAAAATTCTTCCCGTTTTCACAAATATTCTAGAAACGTGTTTGTTTTTTTTTCAGCGGATGTTAAGAATTTTGAGACTCTAAAATCGCGCTCAGACGTTTGTCAGATGTTACTTACAAGTTGTTGGCGTTCACATAAATACGTTTCTGCAATATTTCATACTGTGGTCACAAAGGTATGTAATATCAGTCGGTATTCTTGGCTGTTGTTTTGTCTGTCCGCTTTTCCTTGCCACTGTTGACGCTTTTCATACTTTAAAGTATGTTGTGCATATTATAAAATTATATAATATTTTTTCCCTTTCTTTTCCCCCTTTTGCCCTGTGACTCAGAATGCAGTTTGCATTCCGGCGTGTTTACAGTTTTCTGCATTTTCGTCTTTCCTTTTTTTTTTACACCTGTGAAAACCTAATTATACATTCGTCCCCTTTATCCCACTTTGCTCCTATTTTGGAATGCGCTTGCATTCCCAGCCGTTTTACTTTCTTATTTTTCCTTTCATTCCCTTCTTTTAACCCCTTCGAAAACCCTTATTCCATTTTCCCTTTTCACATTTCGGTTCACCTTAATTATCATTTTCACATTTTCCAACCCCTCCAAAAAACTATCACATCCTCTTTTGGGGCGGTTCCTACACCCTTTATAAACCTCCCAACCATTCTTCGTGGTCTTTCAGTTTTCTCCTTCTCCGGGACGACGGCAGTCGGTCTCCTCGACGGGCTGTTCAAGGACTCGACCTCGTCTGATATACTCCTGGCCCTCATCAA